TGTTTTTGCCCTCATGTAACCTTCCAACCTATGACAATAATTATGATGGCTGGCACATTTTTCAGCTACCTTTAAAATGGTAATAAAATAATAGAATTAAAGCTGTTCTCTTATCTGTAAATGCAGCACTTATTTTCATGCTGAGTACTTACTTAAAAAGCAGCCTGTGTTATATTTTGCTGAAAGTAATGCATTTAGTATCAATTAGCAGAAATCTAAGTTTATGCCATCCAACATGTTTTAGCTTGTTTATATAACTAGCTAGTTACTAAAAGATACTGCATACTTTTTAAATCAGAAGCAAAACAGTTGCTGTAAAGAAAGAACAATGACTAGTAATGCAAACCAACCAATCAGATTTCACTTTTCATCAAGAAACAAAAGATAACTGTTAATGGGTACCTCACTTTACACATTGCTCTTTGCCTAATGTAAAATAAACCATGGTTACCTATGTGGTCTGCCACATTAATTATTTCTAATCACTTTTCAGCACAGTAGTAGACTTCATGCTAAGCCATAATGCAATTTACCTGATGAAAAGCATGTGGTTAGTCATTGCCTTTCAGTCTAATTGGTAAAACTTAAAATGTGTGCTGTACTATTCCTAGCAGTATCAGGAAATAGGTCCAGTATATCAGCAGGTTTGATTAAACATGTGTATTGTTCTTGAAATACAAACAGACCTTACATACACAAAGTGACTTACACATGGCAGTATCTAAGCTAAACGGTTATGTTTTTATTAACTATTATACAGTATATGCTGCAGGACTGGCCTGTATATGGTGTATGTAAAATTGTCACTTTGTACAAACACAGCTGAGAACCTGTTAGGAAAATTCTGATACCTACCAAGACTGACATCAGAACCCTAACATTAATACTAATGATACATCTCACAGCATTTCTTCAATTATCACAATATGAATACTCAGCCTCTGCTACAATGTGCCAAATAATATCCAATGTGTAACTTCCACATCTATGTCTCATAGACAGTAACGTACCATTAGACACTAAGGTGTCTATTCACGAAGCAGCCGAAAGATCTAGCTGTAGCTCCGGCCGATCCTTCGGCTAGCTTCGGCCCCAGGACCCCTTCGGTTCTACTCACTATAGCCCATACAGCTCCCGAACTTGGCCGAGCAACTCAGTTGAGCTGAATGCATATGCCTCGGCTGAGCTGCGCTGAAAGCCGAAGCTGGCCGAGCAGCCGGCCATTGGCCGGCCGATAGCCTGCTTCTCTCAGCCGGTAGTTCTCAATCAGGTTCCCACTACTGATTGACAGCAGCAGAGGGTGAGTACAATAGCTAGTTTGCTATTGGCTATTGCAAATTGAAATAGCCAATAGGAATCTAGCAATGCATTCCTATGGCCAAAATGGCAGCAGAACTGCCGGCCAATAGAAAACTGTTGGGCGGAGCTAGCTGTCATTGCTAGCTCCGCACAATCGTTTTCTTTTTTTCTTTTTCTACTTTTTTTTACAGTTTTTCTATTCCGCTCGTTCCCACAGAGGTACCGAGCAGAACAGCTGAGCCGAATGCCGCTCGGTGGCATTCGGCTATTCACTCACTGCTGTTCGGCATCTATGAGAATAGGCCGAACAGCAGCGAGTAGCCTGCCGGAGGGTCGGCTTAGCCGATCCAGATGTTGGATCGGCTGAGTCGAACTCCTTCTGCACTTCGGGTCGGCC